AAGAGGAAGGAGTGTTTTTAAAGTGTAGAATTAAATCCTGAGATTTAAAATTTGAGAGCCTTGCACTAAATCTTGAAAGTATGGACAAAATGAAATAAACACCCCTCACCTCAAATATATATAAAATCAAACCCATGACCGTCAAGTCAGTTCTGACTCAGAGTGATCCTATAGGAGAATTGCTTCACAGGGTTTCCAAGACAACCATTTCCACAGAAGCAGATGGCCACATTTTTCTTCCACAGGGTAGCTGAAAGGTTTGAGCAGCCCATCTGTCAGCAGACAGCCACGTTCTTAACTACTGCGCCACAGGAGCAGACTTCTCCCAGGACATGAAGGGTCAAACAAATTGTGACTAGCCTCAAGCTCCCAAATATTGATTCTAAGATTTGACTTTGCATTCTGGGCTGCTTTATAGGCTACTGAGCACATTTTTGTTGATCTCAAAATTACCTATATTTGACCATTTTGGTATATGTTGTAGTTACAGTAGCTATATAGATGGCACACTTACCAGCAACCATGCCTCTAACTGGTAACATTTGCTCCCCACTAGCCCTGGGATCCTAAAAAGGTGAGAGAACAACAATGAAAAGGTAAACCACTGAACCCCCAATAAAATGATTAAAAGAAGAAAGGGTAGAGCAGTTGCCATCCCTGACTGACTGGTGAACGCAGAGGAGAACACCATCTCCAGGTGTTCACACTGTGACCCTTCAGACGCAGATCCCCGGGCTTGCCTCTAGTCGCCTCTGGATGGGATCCAGTTTGAACAGTGAACTAGTTGTTGAGGTTCACACCCTTAATTGTGCCATCCAGAGACTCCTTTGCTCCAGATTTGTCCTGGGATACTAAAGAGGTGAAATAACTGACCCCTAAGCCCCGTTTGCTGTTTTCCATCTTCAGGAAAAAGGCCAAGTCTGAAAGTCCACGTCAATACCACGAGTGATTCCATCTTCTTGAAGTTTTTGCGTCCAAATCCAAATGTGAAGCTTGAAGGTTTTCTCTTGGGATATGGAAGCAATGTATCGCCGAACCAGTACTTCCCTCTCCCAGCAGTCGGGAAACACACGGAGGCTGTAGTTGGTAAGTTGTTTATGCTTCAAGCTCGGGAGGAGTGGAGGTAGTAAGTGCCAGTCTTAAGGGAGAGAAACATTTCTTCTGCATTCTCTCCCAAACAGAATGTCAGAATCCACAAATGCTCTCCACACTCACGTAACCCCTAGCAAAATTCTCCATGTTAATGACATATTCGGTGCGTGCAGAAATCTCCAGCTCCGTTTTCATTATACTAACAATGTCTGACCATGTAACTTAAAAACACAGTGGTGAAATTAGCTACAATGCAAGGGTTTCTATTTCTGTAACAAGATTGTTTATACTCAATGTTTTTTTCCCCTTGATATATCTTGATTTTCTTCTTGTAGAAGATAACTGTACCTTGCCGAGTATCTCTTCATGAGATGTTAATTTCAAAAAGAAAAATACATGTATGCAATTTCTTTTAAATTCAGAGTATTTCGGATTTTAAAGCTGAAGTGTTTCTATATGTTATAAAATTTCATATTTTTTAATAAAAATGTTTCCTAATTTCATTGAATTATAATTTAAGGGTATAAATAACACACTCAATCCTTTTAAAAACACATCCTTTTCAAAAGCATTTTCAACCTTTTTCATGACCTAGTACACACAGTGCACCCTACATTTTCTGCCTTTGGGATTCAGTGGGGTTTGCGTAATGCATCTCATCTCCTCAGCCCCAACCCCAGAGATTCCTTGAAACATATTTGCCTCACTAATAGTTTCCAAAGAGTCCTGGTGGTGCCGTCTGGTAAGCATGGGATTGCTAACCCAAGGTTGGTGGTACAAACTGACCAGCCTTGGAAATCTTAGGGAGAGTTGCTATGAGTCGGCGTCTTCTTGACAGTAGTGAGAAATTGTATCAAAATCCAAAATTCCTCAACCATTTTGTTACTATTCATTTAAAATGTCTTCCTTTACTGAAAGCATGGTGTCTACCAAAAAATTTAAAGCAGAAAATGATCCAGTCTTCAAAGGGTTGATTTATTCTGTCTTTAGAGCCCCTTTGTAATTGTGAATGCTTGTAGGGCTTGCTCACTCGTCTAGATGTGACGGATGTTGTGTTCTACCTCGAGGATTTTTGCTGAAGAGCGTTTCCATGAGCTTCGGAAGCTGAATCCTGTAACTTGAACTACTTTATAACTCTCTGGCAGCTAGGCACATATGTGGGGAATGTTGGAGATGACTCTGCTTTTTCCTGCAGTCCCTCCTGCCTCAGCACAGAGGGCTCCGTTGTAGTTCAAAACTCAGGCAAATGTGTAACCTTGTTAATGAAATGTCTAGACTAGATTTACGTAATATAATGGCTTTGAAACAAACCCATTACTGTTTGTTACTCAAGACACTTAGAAAATTAGGTATTTTTGACAAATGTAGCGCTAACCTTGACCATAGAAAAACACAAGAAGTTTCAAATTTTGCAGCTGCTCCTCGCTGTATTACTACAAGCTGTACGCCTACCCCGCACAGACAGAAACAGATCCATGGCACCATTTTCACTAAGCATTGGAAGTAGCATTTATTTCTAATAGTTTTTTGGTTATGTAGATTGATTTTTTGGTCAATTGAAAACTTCCATTCTATATGAAGTAAAAGATATCCCATTTTAAAGAAACCGAAGGCAAGTTGCTAATGAAAAAATGATATGCTATGTAAACCATAGGTTTATGAATGAATTTGGGACTTGCACTTAATTCTAGTCCAAATCTAAGAACAGTGTGACCCTACTCGATAATTACCTTCCTGAAAACATCACTGAAAATATGGGTGCTGGAGCAAAGTGTGGTAAAGAAGTCAGATGGTGCTCAGAAATCAGAAAGAATAGTGTCTGGGGACTTAAAGCCTTGTCTTCAAGCAAGCAGCCATCTGAGGTGTCAACTAAATCCACATGGAAGAAACACGCCAGCCTGTGTGATCCAAGGATTATGAATAATAAAATCTAAATCCAAAGGAGGAAACAGTATCAGAGCTCAAATTCTCACTATCTAGTTTGCAGAAGGCAAAGGGTGAAGTGGAAGTCCGCATTCATTTGCAGGGTTTCCACATGGACTGGGTAGCAGAGTAAGTGAACACATGCAAATGGTCCTATGTATTTTCTAGATTTTAAGGCTGCTTGGTTTTTATAGGTGGTTCAGCCTGATCCCTGCATTATAAAATTCCCCATCAATATTTTGCCTAGGACCCAAATCCGCTTTCAGGTTATGTCTCCAGTGAATCCTCCATGACCATACACCAGGGATTGAATAGCCTTGCTACCAGACAGGAGCATTAGAAAGTGAATTAGCACAGATGTAGTTAGGTTAAAGTTTAATACCTGATTATTTGTTCTACCTTTTGATTTATTTGAAATTTGTTTTAGTTTTTAATATTTTTTGCTTTCTTTTTGTTTGAGGGTTTTCTCTGTCTTATTACTGATTTTTTTCCCCTTTTCCATGTTTTCCTGTATATGAAATCAGGATAAGCAAATCTGTAGAGCCAGTAGTTGGATTCATATTTCCTTAGTATTATGCCCTGGAAGGTCGGGGGAGTCCAAGAAAGAAGAATATCAGTTGAAGAATATTCTAAAATTGAGTGTGGTGATAATGGTAAAGCCACTGAGTTGTACGGAATGTGAATCATATGTCAATAAAAGATGAAGGGAAAAGAGCGAAAACCTCACCAAGAAGATAACGGCGGTGGGTCTTTGCCCCTGAGCGTTACAATGTGCCTTCTCTTTAGCTGATTTGGGTTGAAGAAATCGTACTTTACAGGTGATTGGAACAGTTTTCATTTTCAAATTTGGTTTTTGTGTTTACCTAAATTGAGTAAATTGTCAGTGGAAGGTTAATAAGATATATATATTTAGCTTACTGATCATTGCCTTGATTCCTTATGTTTTACCAAAAGCAAACCCACTGCCAGTAAGTCGATTCCAAGTCATTTCCACCCTGTGGCGGGTTTGGGGCTTCGCTCATCTTTATAGGAGCAGATAGCCTCGTCTTTGCCCCTTGGAAAGGCTGGTGGGTTTGAACTACTGACTTTGTGGTTCACAGTCCAACTCTTGCCTGATAGCAGCACAACTAGTGATTTTCTAATCCTATTCTTCCTTCTGTATATGTTAGCTGAAATTCTTCAAAAGAGAATTTTCTCAACTTTTTACTCTTATGTACAGTGTTTTTAAGAAAGGCAGAATACATTCTCATCATTTGAAGTGGGTGCTTGCTAATCTCCAGTGGTGACCAATGAGATTGCTTACTTGTTTTAATACAAGAGAGAATATATTGAGTTTTTATATTTGTGGTTTTGTTCATTCAAATGATATTATTATATTTTAATAATTGTTATTGGGTTTTAATTAATACATTACTTATCCGTCTCTTCTGATCCTTCTTATTCTCTGCCTGGATCACTGTGCCCCTCTTGGAGCCAGGATTTGTGTCTTTTCCCTCGATTAGGGTTAGAACGGTGCTTCATGCTGGCAACAAAGATTTCTGGCATTAAACTTAATAAATGCAAGTTTGTGTAGAAGATTTACCTTGAAGAGAGCTTGTTTAATCTAGACTTTTATCATCAAACAAGTTAATATCTAAGTCATTGAGTTAATATAGAAAATTAATTCTGTGCTTTAAGTATCTCTAAAAGACAGGGATTCTAAAACTTCTCTGGAAAGCTATTCCAAGCAGCGTCTTGAAAACGCTTGCCTCAGTGTTCTTTAGATTAATCTCCTTTCTCTTCTCGTATTCTAGTGGGAAAGGGGCCCTGGTGGCCCAGGGGTTCCATGTCCAACTGCCAACCTGAAAACCAGCAGAGCCAACAACAGCTGCTCCTCGGGAGAAAGATGAGGCTTTTTACTCCCGTCGAGAGTTACTGTCTCGGAAACCCACGTGGGCAGTTCTAGCCGGTCCTATAGGGTTGCTGTGAGTCAGAATCAACTGGCAGGCAGTGAGGGTTTTTGTTGGGTTGTGTTGGGTTTGGTTGGCTTCTAGTAGGAAAGAAAGAAACAACATTCACTTTACATATTTCTTCTTTGCATTGCATTTTGCTTGCTTATATTGATTGTATAAAGCCTTCCAAATGATTGTGCTTGCATTAGTTGTTCTTAATTGATTATGCAGCTACATATTAATTTTTATTACTGCTGTAACAAATTACCATAAACTTGATAACTTTAAACATAACAAATTTATTATCTTAACCAACCAGGTCTGTTGGTCAGAAACCCACCATGTGGTCTTCTTAGGCTAAATTCCTAGTCTTCTTAGACAGCTGCCTGCCCTTCTGGAGGCTCTAGAATCTCTTCCCTGCTGCTTCCAGCGTTGGGAGGAGGGAGACACAGGAGGCTATCTGCGACTCTGAAGGGCTCCAGCCTCGGGAAGCCTATGAAGGGTCCCTGTGCGTTACAATCAGCCTGATGGCAGTGGGTATGGTGGGTTTCGGAGACTACAAATGGAGGAAAATGAGATCAATGATTCCCTTCTACTCGAATAAAAAAAAAATCAATGTCCACACAAGTAGCAGTCAAGAAATAAAGGCATCGCAATTAGGTAAATCTGTACGTCTAAAAAAGCAAAGCGGTGACTTCATTGAGTAAGGTATTCCTGACCCGTGATCCAAACCAAGGTATAAATCAGCTTATATTCGTAACGAGAGCAGGTAGTGATGAAAGGAAGACAAAAGACTTGATGCATTTGAACGGTGGCATTGCTGACGAATATTGAATATATGTGGGTAGTCAGAAGAATGAACAGATCAGTCTTAGAAGAAATACAATCGACATAGTCCTTGGACTCAAGGATGGCAACGTTTCAACCCACTGACCGTGGACATGTCATCAGACAGGAAGAATCGCTAGATTGTTGGAGCATAGCGTCAGCTAAACTGATGGAACCCTCAACGAGATGAACTAACGTCACAACAGCAGCGATGTGCTCACATGGGCTCACAGTCACCCAAGGGGATGGGGCTTTGTCTAATACATAAGGCGGCTGGTGGCAACCACAAAAACAAAGGGACCATCAGGATTC